AGCCAAAATTTTAATTTATAAATGACCCTATGAAAATGCCGGTGCAAAGCAAGAGTAAACCCTTTTAAATCAATGCAAATAATAATCGGAATTGGCATGTGGAATTTTTCTTGAGTTCTACATGTCGAAATTCACTAACAGGATTTTTAGTGGAATTTTCAGAGCTCTAGAAATAATTTTAACCAATTAAAATTGAGCAAGCAATATTTTAATTCCAGGGAAAATCCTTTTTCCTTTTTTTTTCTTTTTCCTCTCTTTTTCCTCCTTTTTTCGAATGGGCCGCCAGCCCATTCTCTCCTTTCTTCCCCCTCCTCCCTGTAGGGCCGGCCGCAGGCCGAGGCCCATCCAGGCCGTCCCGCCTCCCTCCTCTCTCGGGGTCGCCGACAGGTGGGGCCCACCTGTCGGGCCCGTCTCCCTCCTCCAGCCGACGCCGCGCCCGCAACCGCCGCCGCGTCCACGCCTCCGCCTCCTCCGGGCCACGTCGACCACGCCCGCGCGTGCGCCGCGTTCCCCGCGCCCACTCCCCTCTCTCTCCCGCTCGCGCCCGCGCCCGAGATGGCCGGGATTCGATTTTCGAATCCCGCCTCTCTCTCCTCCCCCACTTCCCCCACGTTGGCCGGCGAAATCCCGCCTCTCCCGGCCACGTCCGGCCCTCCCCTCCCCTATTTAAGCTTCCCCGTCACTCCCTCTCGCTTTTTCCTTTTCTCGTCGAACTCCCTCGTGCTCTCCATCGCTCCCGCGCCGTGCAACCACCCGCCGCCACCGTCTCCGCTACTCCGGCCGCCGCTAGCCGCCGCTAGGCTCGCCGCCGCACCGCGCCGTCGCCGCCGTCGGGTTCACGTGGCCGAGATCCACCCCGTCCACCCCTCTTTCGTCGAGGTCTGTCGCCGGAGAGCTGTTCCCATCATGCGACGGTGAGGGTTGCCATGTCCGCCGCCTTCGGCCGGCATTCCCGCCTCCTATGGCTCCTCTCTTCCTCTCTAATCTCTTTCGTTTCGTTCTTTAGGTCGTCCCGGTCACCGTCCGCCGCGTGTCGACTTCCCTCCGTCGCTCCTCGTCGCCGGACGCCGCCGTCCCCTCCGGTGAGGACTCCTTCCCCTTTCCTTTACTTCCTCGATTCCCCGTGCGTCGCCGCCGCCCGCGCTCGCCGTCGCCTCTGGTCGTTGCCGCCGTCCACTGCCGCCGCTTTCGCGTCGCCTCCGCCGCCGGATGCCGTCGCCGGCAACGCGACGCGCGCGTGCCGCCGCCGTTAGCCCCGGGTCGGCCGGTCGGCTTTGATGCCGAGCCGAGCCCGGCGGCTGCCTCCACTGCCGCCCGTCCGATCGGCCCGAGGGCGATCTGGGCCGTCGGTCCCGTGGACCGGCGGTGGACCACCCGCGTGGTCCCGGTCCACGGTGAACCACACCCCCTGAGCCGCTGACCGGTGGGGCCCACTTGCCAGCGCCGCGCCCCCTCCGTGCTGACGTCAGCCCTGGGATTTATTACGCAATAAATGATTTAAGGTTTTTCTTGTATAGTAATAAACACAGTGAATCTTCTAAAATCCATAACTAATTCATCCGAGCTCCGTTTAAGCCCGTTCAAGTCTCAGTAAATCAAGAAAAATGTGTAGAATCCATTAAAAATGGTTTTGTTCTCTGTTTCAGTAGTCTTATAGCCTGTTTGCAATGTTTGCCTTGTATGTCGCTAGATTCCGGTTCCTCCGACGCTCCGGTGTACTTCGAAATAGTCGCCGAGGTTCCTCCAGCAGCAGAGCAAGGCAAGTCATGCTTGTCATTTGAACATGTTGATCCTATATTGCAAATACTCTAATGTTTTCTTTCAAATATTGCATTGTTTTATAACACTACTATGGGTTGTTTACCTATTGTCATAGCCATGCTATTGATGTACCATGTTTCTTTGTCAGCTTGGGGTTATAACATGATTAGAGTTTGGACTAGGGATTGCTTAGCCATGCTTAGTTCAACTAGTTCACAATGGGGAAAAATCCTATTAATGTTTAGGCTGTTGGTTCTAATGGTTTTGTTGGATTAGTAACACCGCTTTGGTGTTGGTTAATTAAAATAAATCACATGGTGGGCTGTGGGTGCATGGTTTTGCTGGTCGCACCCATGGCAGTTAAGGACCGGTTCGCGGGATGCCCTGGAAGAACTTATCGTACTTACCACAAGCCAGCGTGGGCAACGGCTGGGCTTGTAGCGTAGCTTTCCTCTAGCCGACGCATCCAGGCAAGGGTGGGCGTGATGGAGTTTGGATGGGCCCTGCGACGGCCTATGCGGCTTCCGGATTCACCTAGGCACGAGAGGGGACTGCCCGCTGCCTTGCGAGGAGTGGGAGTGAAACCTGAGGTGTGGTGTGCTTGGTTAGAGGGGGTTATGCGAAGGGTCCTGTCACGGCCTCTTTCCGGTATGTCGTGGTGACATGTCGGCGCACGGAAACGTGTCGTGGGGCTGTGTCTTGTGGGTACAGTTGTACACCTCTGATCAGAGTAAAACTATTCGAATAGCCGTGCCCGCGGTTATGGGCGGTCAACCAGATTCACCGTGATTAGTCTCACCTTAGTGTAATCTTTTGAATTTGGATAGTTTAGGTGGATGGCTGGGCCTGTCGCAACGTGGGATAGCGTTGGACAGCGGATGATTAATATTAATTAATTATTACAACTGTTTAAATCTTTCAATTTCTGTTTATAAATGCTCGCTTTATGCAAATGAACCACTTTAGCTCTTCTTTGATGATTCCCTGCACCATACCCCTATTCCGGTATGACTTGCTGAGTACAGTGGGTAGTACTCAGTCTTGCTCTACTTTTCCCAACCCCAGAGTTCGAGTTCGGGTCAGATGAAGGTTTCTCCGAGGAGTAGGCTTTGTCCGTGCCGTCGAGGATGCCTGTGGAGTGGTGTTCCCGCTGCAGTTTTAGTCAAGGCTTAGCTCCTGTTGTCTTTCTTTTCTTCCGCTGCATTTATGTAAGACTTTTATGATGTTCGTAAGACGTGGATCTGAATGTCAACATTGTCGTTTGTGTACCCCGGTCGGTCCTGGACGGGGATGTTAATGCACATTCTGCTTGAAATTCTATTCGGGAATTTCTGGGCGTGACAGGTGTACATGATGTATTCCATATTTCCATGTTGAGAAAATATTTGAGAGACCCTGAACATCATATTACCGTAGAGCCGATGACCATTGAGCAAGATTTGACATTTGAGTCTCATCCTATAAGAATATTGGAGGAATCTGAGAGGGTGCTCAGGCATAGAACTATCAAGTATGTCAAGGTTCTCTGGACGCACCAGACCGAGCGAGAGGCCACATGGGAACTTGAGTCACAGATGCGAGAGAAGTATCCAGAGTTATTCACGTCTGGTGAGTTATATAAGTCCTACCTATGAGTTCCTTTCTATACTTGTCCGAGGTATAACTGGACGAATTCGAGGGCGAATTCGATTGAAGGAGGGAGGAATGTAATATCCTGTGTTCTAGAGTATGATTGGGCGAATTCGAGGGCGAATTCGATCGAAGGGGGGAAGAATGTAATACCCCAAGTTTTAAATTAATATATCTCGCAGAATATTAGAGCAAACGCGCAAAAGTTTAACTTTTAAACCATTGTTCGTATAGGCGATCGGAAACCGTGGATGCGTAGAGCTCGCCGAGTAGTGCAAAATAGACTATAAATTTATAGTAATCGGAGTCCGAACGAAGTCCCGAGGATTGAATAGATGTGAGCCGTTAGATCTTATTTAGTCTCTTTATATAACCAACCAAAAAAAACAAACGAAAAAAAAAGAAACAGGAGCGATTCTCCTGTAGCCCTAGCCGCCGCACCTCCTACGCTCTGCCGCCGCCGCTGCTGTTCCTCTCTTCACCGGCGCCGCCGCTGGTGCAGCCGTCGCCGATCGCCACAGTCGTCGTCGTCCGCAGCCGGTCGTTGGTGAGCTACTGTTGTTTCTGTTAATTTCCCTGCTGCTGCCGAACCTTGCTGTCGCCGATCTGATCTCTTCCTTGCTGGTGGTGCACGGCTTGCTGTTGCTGCCGATATTCGTTTCTGCTGCTGCTGCTGTTGGCCTGCAACGAATAGGAAGGAGGCAGAGAAGGCAGAGAAGAACAGGAAGGAAGGAAAGAAGGGGAAATTTGATAGAAGAAGGGAAATTTGGGGAATTTGGTGAATATTTCCAAATTCTTCGTTTTTCTTATACATTAGTACTGCTAGGTAATCCGTTTTAGTCTATAGTTGTTTCTAATTTATATTTAAGACGATCTGTTTCCGGTTTTTTTCGAATTTATTTTATATCGAACGCTAGGCTGAAACCGTATTTTCAAATTTGGTATTAAACCATCAGGAATCAGGTTAGTTGTCCTAAATAAAGTTTGTAGTCATTGTCAATATCTTTCCAACGGTGCTAGTTTCACTCGATTCCGATAAACGGTTTAGGAGAAACAGCAAAAACAGTACTGCTGACCGGGTCCGGAAATCAGGACAGCAGTTCGTTTTTCCTTAATCTGGGATTTTCAGAGGCATAATCTGTTTTTGTGCTCAACATGAAAGTTGTAGACAATTTTTTCTAGATGTCCGAAGTTGTATTATTTGCTAGTTTCCGTTAGACGGTTTGTGAGTTACTCATAAAACAGTAATGGAACAGCTATAGGTTATTTAATACAAATCGGTAAAAGGTTTATATGTTCTAGGTTTCGATTTTAGTAAATATCCCTTGTAACCATCGTTAGTTGAATATAGTGGTTTATGCGTAGGTTTGCTCCACAGGTGTGGAGGGTTCCAACGTTGGAGGAGTTGAGTCGGAGTATCGAATGAGTTAAGGCAAGTACAAGACGGACTTATGTGATGGACAAAACTGAGTTGTTTTGTTTGGCTTTACTTGCATAATTATTATTCAATTGCTTGTTATTACTGATTGTATGGCTATGACATTATGCTACTTATTCGTGTTTCGACCCATATTCAAATTCATGACGTTATTCATGTTTCATTATTCCGGATGTTCTGTTTACATTATTCAAGAACCATGCGTAGCCATGGGAGTGCAATTTGGATCTTTATTCATGATCCTTGAGAAGCGCTGATCACGCTTGCTTGGCTTACCGGTAATGCTAAGAGGATATTCACACCTGCCCGGGAGGGAACTACTATCTTTTGACTTCTTTGGTTTAAAAATAAAGTAAATCCAACCCTTCATGTTGGTTTCTTAATGCATAAATCATGCGTATGTTTTACTAGTTCAAGATTGTACTTGCTGAGTATTCTTTACTCACTCTTGTGTTTAATTTGGTTTTTAGGTACCTAATGACATCGATCGGCATGGGGCGGGAGTAGCACCCTTGGACTACACATTATTATTGCACACAATTGAAATTAGTTTTAGACTATAATTTTTGCTCAGCATAAGTTTTGCATAGAACTTGTAAAGGTCATTTAAGGTTCTGATCCTTATTTTTCACGTGGGATTTGTGGAGCTAGGATGGTTTGGATTGTGTGGTTTATATCGGTATTGACCTTTCTTATAACTGCCTGTCGTGATGTCCGTATTTTTAGGGGAGACTCTACCAAAATTTCTAATAATTTTAGGACTTAGTTTTTGAGTGTATTTTGGTGTGGCATTTTAGGTACGTGGTTACCTGGGGTGTTACATCTTATGTGAGTTTGGTTCGTGGCTTTAGGCTACCTACCTCATGTATAAATAGAGAGGGAGCGTGAGGCCTCCCGGTATCGCTTTTGAGAGTATTGAGTTGTAAGTTTAGTTAGGGTTTCGAGTTTAGTCGAGATTTTCATGAGGAGTGCTATTGTTGAACTTTTTAAACAGATACTTGGATTACCAAATTTGGTCATTAACAAACATAGAGAGAAGTAATAAAGTTGTCATCTACATCAAAAGTTCTTCCATTTGTGTTTGCTTGTGTTTGGCGGTCTAACCAGCGAGACACCGACGGTTAGACCGGCGGCATCACGGCGGTCAAACTGGCGAGTCACTGACGGTCAGACCGGCGGCGACTTCAGGCACGGCAGCTGATCTCGCGGTCCGACCGGAGAATCAATCTCGGTCAGACCGACGGTTTCCAGGTGATCAGACCAGCACGACTACTTCGGTCAGACTACGATTCATCGAATTTGAGGGTAACTTTTAATTCCGCTAAAAGTTTTGGTTTTTGGGTACACCAACCATTCACCCCCCCTCTAGTTGGCTTAGTTCTTTCTATTCGATTCTACAGTCATCGTATATACCCTTCGTTCCAAAATAAATCAATATAAGATTTGATCGGATCAATATTATCTAGTACTCCCTCCGTTTTAGGTTATAAGATGTTTTGACTTTGGTCAAAGTCAAACTGCTTTAAATTTGACTAAGTTTATAGACAAATATAGTAATATTTACATTACTAAACTAGTTTTATTAAATTAATAATAAATATATTTTTATAATAAATTTATCTGGGATCTAAAATATTTTTTTTCTATAAACTTAGTCAAACTTGAAATAGTTTGATTTTGACCAAAGTCAAAATATCTTATAACCTAAAACGGAGGGAGTACAATAAATTTAGAAAGTGATTGGTTTGTTTTGGGACGGAAAGAGTATATAACATCCATACCTTCCGCATGAAAAAAATACAAAAGATGAGATGTAGCTAGCTCCTCAGAATAGTCGGGCTAATAATAGTTTTCAAAATTGAGTTCTTGCACTATTTAATCACATTTTTTTATTTTAGTTCTCTTTGTCATCATGTATGAAAGTAATGAAAGTTTGGATTGAAAGCTAAAAAATGTGGATAATTAAAATTCAATAGGTCTAACCTAGATGACCATATAACCATCAATTTACCGAAACTTTGCGCTTTCAAGCTGGGGTTTCTCGTGAACTTTACTGATGCTGCTGGCATTAATGTGTCTAGCACATATTTTGTTTGTCTTATTAATTAATAGGGGATCGCTAGATTTCAGAAGACTGAAATTATGAAGATGTCACCTTTAACCTCTAGATTAGGAGAGGAAGCTAGGAAGACGGATGGCTAGGACTCACCAGCGACGACTATATTCTTGAACAAGAGTTGGATAAAGATTAAGATTTTCGTGGCACGTTTTTTAAACAGCTAAACAGTGTGTTTTGTGCGAAAACTTTCTATATGAAAGTTGCTCTAAAATATCATCTTAATCTATTTTCAAGTTTAATAATTAAGATTTAATCAATCATACATTAATACCACCTCGTTTTGCGTAAAAAAAACTTAATCTTCATCATCTTCAGGAGAAAAGAACACCACCTCAGTAAGCCTTGAAGCCGACAGTGGAACTTTAACAGCTTTCACCAGATTAAGTAGGAGGTGATGGGAGGAGGGGTACGAGAGGGAGGTGAGGCAGTGCAGGCAGAGCCAGGAATTTGGCAATGGGGTTTCAGACATATCCATACAGAAGAAGCAGGCAACGTTACAGACCAAATGAACGAATAATATAGCTCAAAATGACATAGATATTATAGAGTTTCAGTAATATGAATCTATTACAACCATGCCAAAATATGAAAGCACATAATAGCTAGAAAACTAAATTTGGACATGGGCAGTGGCCATGCCTCGAAAGCGTTTAATGATATCATCATCATCATCATTTCTACCATGGGCTTCTTATGTAAACACAATACTGTATGTATTATTGAGGATATATATTGGGGTTTTTTGATTAAAACTTTAGGGTAGAGATGTACCGCATGCACCTCATTGCCTCCGACTGAGGTGAGGGTGGTTTTTAAAGGGATGGTCGGGCAGGTGGTAGACCAATGGTGAGCGATAGATACGGGAGAGCACTGATGACACCACCACTAGAGTTGTGAGATTGGAGGGAGGACGCCTGGTGGGGTCAATTGTGAGGGCGTGCTATTTGACGTGAATAGGAGATGGGGCGTCTTTGGTAAGGAAGGTATGCAACTTGTTGCCGCTCGACATATGGATGATTGGGCGGCGTTTGGAGGAGTGGGTTAGGGGGATTGCGCAGAGTAGTAAGGAGGGAGGTCAGAGAAGATAGGGGAAAGGTCAATCCGGTGCCACCGATACAAAGAAAGAGGCGCACGGAGGGCAGGGCCATTGGGCAATTCCCGATAGGGACAACTGGTGCATCATTAGGAAAAGCACAGATGAGGTGGAGTTACTAGGGTTGGCAACGAGGCGGGGCAGGGACAGGGTTGACAAGAACGGCCCCGCCCCCGCTCCCTTGCGGGTTCACCCGGCCCTAGACCCGAAGGGAGGAACTGGGCAAAATCAATCCCCAGCCCCGCACTCTTCCCGGGTTCCCACAGCCCAGTGGAATAAAGGGAAGAATGGTATGGGAAACCTGCAGCCAGAGCGAGAGAAGAGCGACCGGAGAGGGAGGAGAGCAATACGGGGTGCCGGCGGTTGGAGAGGGAGGCAACGGCAAGGGATGCCTGAGGCTGGCAGGATCAGGGGAGACGACATCCGCGGGAACGACGGTGCGCGCAACATCACATGGAGGAGAGGAGCGCTGACCGTCGCCGCTTCATGGTGCTGGACCAACTCGTGACAATGCTGTGAAGATTTGGTGCAGCGTGATTTGGGGATGCGAGGAAGCGACATGCGGCATAATTTTTGGAGGTACCGTGGAAACTAAAGCGGCGGCATGATAGGAACGACTGAATGAGATGGATGGCAAGGGTTACGGTATTGGTTAGGATATATGCTTTGCTTATTTGCTGTTGGTAGATATGTATCCACATGTTGGGTTGTATGGGCTTAAATCTAATGGGTTATATGTTTTTTTATGGATCCCTACATTCCGGGCCCCACGAGTCACCTGCGAGTGAAACTCTTGCCCCGACCCCAGCCCCACATAGCTTCGGGGCCTCATCCCCGCAACCCCACACGTGAGAATTTCACTCCACCCCCGTCCCAACGAGGAAATTGTCACCCCTGGGAGTTACTATAGTAGCACAAATCTTGGTTTGATCCGCACCGTCTTTCGGGTGTCGCAAGCATTGATTTTATATTATTTTTCCCTGATCTGTATGTATCTTATCAAATATATTATTTTTGCCATTTCTGCCTCTTTTTATTCACTCTCTTCTTTGAACTCTTCTGGTTGGTGCTTTTTTTTTCTCATCTAATCTTGTACACCCTCCGTCTCAAAAAGAATTAAATCCCAGCTATGGACCTAGATAATCATTTATCTAGATTCGTAGCTAGGGTTTAAAATATTTTTGGACGAAAATTGAGTACTTGTATGTTGTTTGCTTTATTTGTTTTTGCTGCTGTTGTTGTTGTTGTTTTCTGGTGTCTGCCAGTGCATTGAGGATCGGATTCCCCACGTTCACTTGTCGTGCTGTGTGCTGTCACTCTTGCAGGCAACGACGACGCCTTTTCGAGCCGGCCAATGATACATTCACCCGCTAGCTACGGAAGCTGACTATACACCCGATCATGGAATTAAATTTTGTGGGGGCTCAACAATCTTGATCCAATCGATCCACCATTCATGGACGATATATGGGGCACTAATACGGACATGCCGACAAGATATGGCCACAATAATGGCGAAACACCGGAGGAGACATGAGTAGATCGTCGCCGGTGACCGGCCGGCGAATGAGACACGTTCCAGTAGTACAAGTATAGATAGAGCAGTCACATCATATTTAGTTTCTCTTATTCAAATTGGTAGTATTGTGATGTATATATCTTATTTAACCTTATATTGCTATAATTTAGAACATATGAAATATAAAGTATTTCTAGACATCTAAAATAATACTTCCTCCATTTCACAATATAAGTTATTCTAGCTTTTTCCATATTCATATTGATGTTAATGAATATATATATATGTCTAGATTCATTAACATCAATATGAATGTGGAAAATGTTAGAATAACTTATATTATGAAACGGAAGAAGTAATATTAAAGGACAGTTTTCCTTTTAGAGATTTATTTGATCAGATTTTGAATTCAAAATTGTTTTGGATCACTCACCTCCCCTAAACAGCTGACTGACTGAAATTATGGTCAAATATTTATATTGCGTGTGAAATTTAAATCAAAGAAATGCTAGTATTTAGAAGTAGAGTATACTACTCTGGTAGCATTGTTCATTAACTGTACGTATACACATGCATGGCCCATTCATTTGTGCAGAAATGATGATCGATCGAGGAGGAGATTTAATTTGCGTGCACGGATGGCCCGTGACGAGTTCTGATCGACGAGGACCTAGCTAGCTTCTTCCATCCATGTCTTAATAATTTAGCAGGTCGCCACTGCTGCTACACCAGCCACCGATCTAACATTAGTACAGACGTACAGTACATGGACCCCCCTTATAGCTACTGGTTGATCGACGAGACGCAGGGGACAAAGGTACGCACGGAGCTATAGTGGTCACGCATATGGTGTACCAGGCTGCTACCAGCAAGTGATACTCAAAGGCAGCTACATTTGGTTGTGTGATACTACTACTATGTTGCTATACGTTCCAATAATGCCTTGTCCATTCCAACTCAGGCCCTGTTTAGTTAACACAAAACTTCCCTCCAACTCTCAACTTTTCATCACATCACATCACATCACATCCAAAATTTTCCTACACACATAAATTTCTAACTTTTTTTTCAAACTATCAACTTTCCCTAAGCTTCTCACCAATTTTAAAAACTAAACACAGCCTCACTTTAGCAATTTTAAAATGTGGGTGTTTTTTTTCTACAAATTTGGATTAGTGATAATCCAGATTCGTAACTAGAAATAGCTAACTGAAATATAAGGATTTCTAAGTTGCAGCTAAAGAGCAGTTTATTGTAAGTTGAGTTACTTGCATCAGCCATTTCAGCTGGTAACTT